AAACACCCCCCCCCCCCCCCCCCCCCCCCCGGCCCGAACGTTCCCCACAGGATCGACATGTGACGTCGTTGCAAATTCACACGACAACATCAGCCTCACGACTCGCAACTATGATCACCAACCGCCCATACTCGAAAGACAGTACACTTTCTCGCTGTGCATCATGCCAAACACCAAAACCATTGACGTCCCCCACCTCGGCGGCATAACAGCTGCCTACCAAACCTCCGGTCCCGTGGACGCCTCCAAACCCACCCTCATCTTGATAAACTCCTTCGCTACGTCCTCGGAGCTCTATCGTGATGCATACACGAACGAAACACTTACATCGGTGATGAATCTGGTAGCGATCGAGCTATTGGGTCATGGACAAACGCGCGCAAAGACTGAGAACTGGACGTACTGGGATACTGCGATGATGAATCTGCAGGTTATGGAGAAGCTGGGTGTGAAGAAAGCTTTTGTATTAGGGACGAGCCAGGGAGGATGGGTGACGGTACGAATGGCACTTTTGGCGCCGGAAAAGGTAAGCGACCCACGCCATGTCTAATGATTTGTGACGCACTCTACCAGATATTGACAGAGGAACTACCAAGATCCTTGGCATAGTACCTCTTGGAACATCCTTAGACTATGAGTCCCCTCGTTCTCGCGATCTAGGCTGTTGGCACGCCGTTGACCCCCTCGCTGACCGCATCACCGGCGAATTCGGCACCGAATCCAATGAGCCTACGCCAAACTTTGTACCCAGCACAGATTTCTGCAACTTCCTCATCGACGTGGGCTTGGGGAAGGAGGACTGTCCCGAAGACGTCCGCGCCTTCTGGATTGATGAGATTAAGAACAATTATCAAGGCGACGAAGGACGTCGAAGGATCAGGATGTGTGCAATTAATCTTAGAGATCGGGACGGATTGCATATGCGCTTGAGCGATGTGCTGTGTCCGGTTTTGCGGTTGCATGTAAGTGGATGGATGCTTTTCTTTTCATAGCAACGTTGGTCTCATTGCGGATGTGTTCTCTAGGGTGATTTCGCAACTGACTGTTGTCACAGGGAACTAGCGATGTTGTTTATTCGGTCGCGAACGCCAAAGAGGAGATGAAACTCTTCACGAACTCGCCGAATGCCAAATTGGAGGTTATCGAAGGCGGCCAGCACTTCTTGAGCGCATCCAATCCGAAAGAGGTTAACGAGTCTGTTATTCGTTTTGTAAAAGAGTATAGCAAGTAGAGGTTTTGGGACGAGGGCTTTGTGTTATGCATGTTGGATGTTGGATAGGCCTTGTTGAATCAAACCTTGGAAGTATTTTGACTGGGTAGCTAGGTAGCAAACAGATATCATGACACGGACGCATTAGCTATTTGCGCGCATCTTTCATTCTATCCGCACCGACCATTACCGTAACGCCGACGGATGTAGTGTGTCTCGACAGAGAGAAAGGCTATGTAGTTGATTTGTGATGTTGATGCTTGCGTATAGAGGGCATTAGGTCAATACACAAAAATACCAACCCAGTTTATGTTGAGCATCGGAACAGGTGCATGTTACAAGCACAAACGATTAGGGGTCCTTGTAGGCTTCATCGCAAAGATCTGATGGTCCCATATAGCCGCTCTAAGCAAGATAAATACTGTAGGGATAAGTAATAGCACGTGCGCCATTGGGTGTCTGGCTTACCAACAAGGCAAAGATGAGACCTTGCATCTTTCCACATGTTCTAGCTGCATACAAAGTATGATGCGCACACAGTCGTCAACATTTGTTTTGCAAGTAATCTTCGCCGTTTGTGTATAAATGTGCATATCGGTGTGACAAAGGGTGGATATGTTGAGTTCTGGCACACACGCACACTCACACGACGCCATGCTTTTTCTTGCTGGCTATGATGTAATTTGATATGCGCTCTTGCGATTACCCCGCTTATCCCAGTCCTTCAGCTGTTGCTTGCTTTTGCGCGGACCACGGAGTCTTGCCCCTCTCCACACCTGGCACTTGGACTTAGCCTCCGGCAAAACGGCGCTCATGCCACAGTTGTAAACTTGGTCTGCGGGCCGAAAGTATTGCTTTTGACGGAATGGTTCCAGCGCTGGGTTTGCGGGAGAATTATGGATCTATCTCGATGGCCGCTGCATAGGTCCCACAATAGCGCGATAGGTCTGATCGGCAGCGGTGATGCGCTCCAGTGTGTGGCCATGAAGAAGGAAAGTGCGGAGCAAAGCAATATTGTCGAGAACACCGCCTCTTCACGATCACGGCACGTCGGATCTGCGTGGTCAGCTACCAACAGTCACAGTCTAACAAGAATCAGCATTGGCAATCCTGCGACATCACTTCCACATTAAGAGCACGTTATTTTACCTGTATGGCGGGCTATGGGCCATACAGAGCCCAACCGTCGATGCAGCTTTGGATTTCAGACTCGCCTAAAGACCCATGTCAGCATGATCTCCAGTGTAGAACTACACCGGAATAGCCGTTTGGTAAGCGTATTCGTAACATGCATCTACATACCCTTGTCAACGAGATGTGGCTGAGAATGATCGAACCGAAGTCCCGCCCGCTCGCCTCGCAAAGGAAATGCCATCGGTCCACCCAACACCACCTTAGGGTCTCGCACGTGCGTCAAGATGCGAAGGGCTTGCAAAAGTTGGGCATTTCCTAGCAAGTGGGGAAAGTTTGACGAGCCGCCAATGGGTACAATCGCAGCGACATCGAGACTGTGCTGCCCCTTGTGCAATGCGACGAGCGATCAAACGTGGGTTGAGAGACGACCTGGAAGTGATTACTGTTTGACATTAGCATATCTTGTCAACTGGGATGAGAGTTCATTGGCTTGTCGGAACGCGATCTATATCCATGGACTAGGTACTGATGTTGTTTGCTTTTTGGGCGTCTTAACCTGATGGACACCGGGGATACTCGATGTAGCCAGCAAGTTCTTACAGCGGGACAGATGCACCTGCAGCCGCATCTGTATCTGCAGCGACATGCAGGATGTAGCCGGTATGTTTCCGCGGCATTCGTCCACGCCGCGCCCCTCTCAATTAAGACCGGTTCCTGCGTCTTGCCGTGGCCCTTGAATCGCAGCATGAGTAGGCGTTTGTAGATGCTGCACCAGAATAAGACTTGATATATTGCATGGTGTACTACAGCCACAGAGGAATCCGTTGATGTTCCCAGGTCTGACAAAGTCGTCTTGGACACAGCCGACATTTGCCAGTAGGGGCGACGGGAAGGACACGTTTCGCATCCTGGTCATTTCGGCAGTACTGCATCGCCGTTTACCTCAGCATGTGCCGTTTGGGGAGCATGTGACGGGTGATTGTTGAAGAAAAGAGAAGAAGGAGTGGGACATCTAGACAGTGGGGTGAGTAGTTGGCACTTGGCTTGTTCCAGGGCTTGACGTCAACAGGCCTTCACAACGGATGGCAGGTACAATAGGCGCGTAAGAAGACGGAAGCCGGTACACTTCAGGTACAACCCACTGCTCTGGGTGCCTGTGCTCTATCGTTTGGCTCGCAAATCAGCGTGCATGACCGTACAGCGCGAAGATTTGTTACCGCAGCAGGCAGGATTCGCCGATTGCGAACGATGAACTGACTGCCTGAGCCCATGCATCAATATGCAGGCCTCGATTTCACCTTTGACTTGTGTAGCTGCACCGTTCTCGTTCCAGTAAGACAAAACCAATTGCATTTGGCGCCCAAGCGAGCTGTCGGCTGGGAGTTTCAGGTGGTCGTTGGCAGTCTGAGACAGAGACCTGAGCGCACACAGCAACAATGTCGCATTTATGCGGTCAAGAACGCTCTTGTCCGCTGCATATCTTTGTGCACAAAGTCGCGGTAGGAATCCTTGCATGCCGAGATGAACAATGCTTGCATGAATGTATAGTTGCAAACTTATAGATATATAACGGTACTGGATTAAGGTGAGGGGTAATGCACCCGAACGCACCGAAGAAGTAGCTCTGCCGGCTTTTGTTCGTAGCCATGGCGTCCACCATCGGAACTCACCGCAGTGGAGTTCCAAGACTGCCTTGACCAAGTGTAGACTGACCCTTACAGCAATCAGCGTGTTAAAAGACACACGGGTGATGCAATTTCAGGGGTTAGCACAAGCTGCGGGTGCTTGTACCCGGTATAGCTATTGAGCATACGTGAACGTTGCGGTTTACCCAAGTAGCGTAGCAGATGCCATACGGTACGGAGTATGGTACGGATGTGATATTCGTGCGTCTAAGTGCATATGTGTAGCCAATCAATCGCCAAGGGGCTGTGGTGCTCTCTAAAGCATAGATGTGGTGAGAGCGACGCCCAAGTCCTACTTTTGCAAATCCAGGAGGTCCACCCAATGCAAGGAGATATAGACCCGTGTTGGTATCGTAAACCCAATAAGAGAAACAAAGAGAAACAAGACGTCTCAAGTGGGATGAGCCCGATGACAGCTCTAACAGTGAAATCGCCAAAAAGAAAGATATGGCCGTGAATGGAAGCAAGGAAACATGATACCAAAGAGTGATGCGCTATGATACAGGGTATATGCAAGCAAATGCGAAGAGATCGAAGAGTCGTTGCGCGCAATTAATTCTCCTCCATCAAGGCTTCTTGGTCGCCGGTTTCGCGCCAGTCGCGTGCGCGTTCGGATAGGCGCTTGACACCAGCAATGCGCTCTGCCCAGAGAGATTCCGAGGGCGAGCGGAAGGTGTACGCGCGCTGGGATGAGATGACACCGATTGCCTGCAACACGGCCTTTCGCGAATCCCTACCGAAGACAGCAGGGTGGTTGATCCACTCGAGACTGGACTCGAGTTCTGCGTCAAGCGCATACATGGTTCTGACATCAATGCCTGCTGCAGGAGTAAAGGGGCTATCCGCATGAGGCGAGGGCGTTCGCGCACGCAAGTCGCCACTGGTACTGTGCAATGTCGGTGATGCGGATCCAGTGCTGCCTGCTGCACTGGATGGTTCGTTGCGTCGGTGACCTGGAGGTGGAAGTGGTGGCAGACCTCCTTTTCCGAGTCCTTTTAGAATACTGCGCGTTTCCTTGAGAAGGTGGTGTGCGCGGTCGTGTTGCCCACGCGAAACAAGCGTCAATGCGCGTGTCAGCATGTCTGAGGTGAGCAATTCCATGCGTCGCTGCACGACGTGAGGATGAGGTGGGATGGGAGGTGTTGGTGGTCTTCCAGTCGGGCTCTTCTTTGGCCCTGACGGTAGCAGAGTGATGGCGAGTAACGACGGGCGTGGTAAATGTGACAAAGACCCTTCGCGTAGGATGTCACCGTACGTCAGGTCTGCCTGGATCAGCGGCACTTCTTCAACGCTGAGTGTGCGTGAGTCGTCCTGGTCGAGCGGTCCACCGAGAGCCTCAAGGCCAGACACAATCGACTCCCAAGGGTCCTGAGGAAGCTGTTCTGGTGAGCCGGTGTCTGGTGCAATGGCTAGTTGGACCAAAATGTCTCGCTTGTCGCCAAAACGCAGGTCACCCAACGCGGCTTCGGCGTCTCGTCCGGTGGCTCGTTTTGTAATCTGTAGGGCGCCGCTGATCTTGACAAACTTGGCAGGAGAGCCTTCGGGTAGTCGTAGCTTGAGTTTGACGTTTTGATGCGAGGTAGTCTGGAGGGAGCCGAGACAGCCAGCTGCACACTCACGCAGCATCATCCAGTCTTTGACGTACGTGTACGAAGCCTTGGTGCGGGTAGAAAGTTCAATCATGGTATCGGGCTTGTGTGTCAGTCCTAGACCGAAGGAGTGGATGGAGACCCTGGATTACGTGTTAGCAGTGGTTGCGCGGATTTGTGGGAGGAAGGGGCTACGGACTTGGCAGCCTCGGCGCGGGAGATGACAAAGTCGACGCTTTCAGCATCGGAGGTGGAGGAATCGCTGATGAGCAGGATGCTGGAGAGGGGGTTGCTGGACTTGCGCTGCATGAGCAGATCCATGGCGACATTGGCACCGTCGACGACGTCTGCGCGCAGGCTCTTCTGGCCGACGGGGCGGATGGAATCGAGCACCTTGGGCCAGTCTCTCCACGCCTTGCTCGTCATGCCGACGATGGGGACACCACCGCCGCTGGAGCCGAAGGTGACGAGGCCCATGCGGTCGCGCTCGCCCAGGTTGTGGACCAGGAAGCGCAGGGTGTCGCGGAGCAGGTTGATCTTCAAGCCCTGCATGGAGGAGGATACGGGGATGACGACGACAATGTCGACGGGCACGTGGATCGAGGGCGGGGGGCGCGGCTCGGGCACGGCGGCGCGCGGGGCGCTGTACTCGGTCGGGGCGGTCATGGTGGACCTGGCGGCGCCGTAGGACGAGTTGATGGAGGAGAGGCGCTTGGGGCGGCGGTAGTCGTCGTCGTCGGGGCCCGAGTTGTCGTGGTCGTAGTCGGGCAGGCGGGCGGCGGTGGGGAAGTCGAGGCGGATGTCCATGAGGGCGCGGCGCCAGAGGTCGAGCTGGCTGCGGTCGTGGAACTGCAGGTGGAAGGCGGGCAGCTCGGCGACGGAGAGGCTGAGGGTCAGGACGAGGCTGTCGGGCGCGTGCTCGACGTGGTTGAGGTGCTTCTTGATGAGGATGGAGCCCTTGAGGGTGCACTTTGTCTTGGTGAGGGGCGGCGTCTTCTTCTCCTTGACGCAGATGAGCATCTCGGAGAAGAGGTAGCACTCGAGCTCCTGCCACGACTGGCGGTCCTTGCCGACGCGGATGTGGCCATGGAGGCGCAGCTTGCCGAAGCGCGAGAAGTCGAGGCCGTGCCAGTTGTCGACGCGGGCGTGCAGGTCTTCGGTCATGTCATCGAGCAGCGCCGCCGGCTCGTACGGCGGCGCGGGCGACTTGGAGCGCTCGTAATCGCTCTCGGCCACGCTGGCGAGCGGCGGCAGCGGCGGCGGCGCTCGCGGCAGGTCGTCGGGGCTGGGCCGCCACTTGCCCTCGACCACCTCGACGGTGACGAGGCACGTCAGGCTCTGCTGCTGCCGCGACCGGCTCAGCGTGGGGAACTCGCTGCGGACGGTGACGGTGGGCGCGGGGATGGGGCTCCGCACGCCGCCGCGCGGGCTGCTGAGGCTCGTCTCCATAGACTGCACGTCGTAGTCGTGCCGCCGCCCATCGTGCGTCGCGGCATACTCGCTCGACGACGCGAGCCCCGTCGCGCCCGAATCGCTGCGCCCGTGGGCCCGCGACTGCGCCTGTGACAGCGACAGCGACGCGCCCCGCTCGGAGCCGCGGTCGCGACTGTGGCTGCTGTCCCGCTGCCGTGTGTGTGTCGTGGGCGGGTATCGCGCCGACGCGTTGCTTCCGGTGCGCGACCGCCCGTGCTGCTGCTGGTGCTGCTGCTGCTGGTGCTCGTCGTGCGGCCGCTCAGCCTGGCTGTCCCACGGCGTGGGCGTGTTGGCTGCGCTGCGCTGGCTCTCGGCGTGCGGCGGCGGCGCCTCGTGCTGCACCGAACGCACAATCGTCGACAGTTTCTCTGCGCGCACATCAGCCTGCCTGCCCGCCGCCGTCTGCGAGGGCTGCCTACCAAGGTCGAGCACGTTGCCCCCTCTGCTGCTGTCGAGCCCCAGCGTCGCATCGCACGTCGGGCAGTGCTGCGACTCGAACTCGCGGATGTACTCGTAGAAGCACGCCTCGTGCGACACATGGCCGCACGAGAGCTGCAGTATCCGCTCGCCCCGCAGCGTGTACTCGAGGTTCTCCTCACACACGCAGCACTCGCTGCCGATAAAGGTTCGTTCCCGTCGTGTCCGCGTCCGCTCCATGTCCATGACCCCGGCCATGCCTCTGCCCGAGCGAGGCGGCGGTTGCGAGCTGACCAGAGTCGCGTCCGATCGTTGTGTGTGCGACGTCAAGCCTTTCGTCGTGTGACTGCTGCGCGAGTGCGGACGGAGGCCTAGGAAAGACATGAGCGCCCGGAGCTCCACGACACGTCTCAATCGACCAACTCGACTCTCTTCTTGCCTCTCTTGTCCTGTGTGTCGTATCTGTCGCCCAGCTGCCGGAACAGGTAGAGATTCGTATCCAAAGCCTCCTTGGGTGTGCTGTGGGGTGGGTGAGGACGACGGCGTCCAGACAAACAAAGTTCAAAACCGTTCGACATGGAAGGGCCGGGGCTGGGGCGGGCCTCACTTTGGGATCGCCTCAAGCACGTTTCAGCATCCAGAGAGCACACGGAGCAGCGTTGAAGAGCCCGCGGGCTGGGTGGACCTTTAGGTTAGAGCCACCAGGTACCGGCAAGCTGCGTTAGCCGGGGTATTGTGCCCGACGCGATTCGAGCCGTCCAACACGGGCCTGTCTGCGAGGCACTGTGCACAAGGGGAGAATGCGATGCGCCGGCCCGTTAGCTTTCGTAATTCAAACAGCTGCAGCGTCGCCGCCCTTGGTCATCACCCACCATCGCGCAGCACGCCGTCTGGCTTCCATCACACCTGGCCTCCACTACCAGGCCCGACGACTGCAGCATCCCGTTTGCAGCCAAGACTAAGCAGCACCGATGCATGGCTGCACGCTGCACGCTGCACGTACGTCGCGCCATCCCTGCACGGGGGGCGTCGGAGGCACATGGGCCCCTGCCACGACCAACCGGACAGGGCTTGCGTGAATAGGGAGCCTTGGGAGCGACAGCCATGCGCCACCCCGTCAATCATTCGCCCTTACTTTACACGCGATTCAGTCCGTGAGTTGGCCCATGATGGCGGGCCAGAGACCGTTCGCATCGCAAATCCCCAACCTTGCGGTCCGTGACCATGTCGAGCCGAGTAGGGAGACAGCCCACATACCTGCTTGAGCGCTGGCGAGCTGAATCGAATTAGGAGACATGCAGCCTCGATACGTCAGGGGGAACACACATGACAAACGACGCTTCTCTTCCCTAATCTGACGGCCTTCCACCTCGTCCGCTATACCTACTTGTCTGTCCTGTATCTCCTAAATAGGGGACACGCTAGAAGCTCTGCTTGCCTCCTAAACCCATCGTCCACTATCCAGCGTCACGGATTCAGTACCGAGTCAGTCTCTTCCGTCAAGGTTTGCCTGCAGCTGGGATCTCTCGGAAACACACCACTTCTAGAAACCTCCTGTGAATCCTGCCAGGAGCGACTCGCACAAGGGGAACCTTACAGGAACAACCCTTCTCCGCGTGTAATGCGCGGTTAGTCGTCTTCAGTCACGCAAGCGAGCGTCACACTATGTTCGCAGGCGTGTATCTGGAGCTTCTCTTGGCGACCAACTTGCACCGTCGTTGCGGACAGATTTGCAACTTGCTCCTGCCACCCGAACCCTGCACGACCGTCAGTCACAGTTGAGCCGTAGTCAACTTGGTGTATATTCCGGAGCAGCTTGTACAAATTCGCGTCGGACGCACGACGCTGTAGGCATAGCGGTCCCTGGATCTTCCGGCCCCAGGCGGGTCTTTGCGTAATCAGCACATGGCACGCACGTGGATGCTAGAACGTCATCATGAGTTTCCAAGATGCGGCATCTCCCAACTGTTCAACCAGCAACGTCCATCACACACATCAAACCCTCGGATCTACGGCAAGGCAAACTACCCCCATGCACAGCTCTGCACCAAAATGTTTTCGTACCAGGGTTTCACAAACGACCCTTTCTTTCATCTTCTTGCACAGAACAATACGCACATTCGTTACCGGATTGGCCACGCCAACTTCCGCGGTAGATTGCCAATACGTGTGCTCTAACTGCAGGCTCTGTACAGGCTATGCACAAGAATTTTTCGTCACTCGAATTTTCTCCGCCCTTACCAGTTGCAAAGTCTGCATCGCCCTGCCTTTTTAGCCGGCACATACTCGATCTCGCTTCTACGGAGCGCCGTGCGTACACGCGTACGTAAGTACTGACGACGTAAATGAAATCCATAACAATCTTTTGAACCAGCTCCACATATGCCCTGAAGATTCGCTGCATCAACGGATCATCTTGCAGTCACGTTTGACAATGGCTGTCAGTGTGCGCGGTGGATGCGAATAACAGCTGTGACCACCGTGACAGACGCCTCATGCCGCGAACCATTCGACTATCTGCCTTTACGACCTTTGTCGAACGCTGGTTGCCTGACCTGTGAGCTGTCATTGAGCTGTCATATCGTTAAGCCCCCTTTCGGAGCTGTTCATGTACGCATGCCCAATAGTTTCTGCGCAATGGCAAGCTCAACATTGATTTGCTGGTAACTGCCTTCAATGCATTGAAGACTTGACCTCCTACATGCAGCATTAGATTCGCTTATTCAACACTATTACTCGCGGACGACAGCGAAGTCACTCCCTCTCATCTCTTTCCGCTATTGCTGTTATTAGACATATAAACGTGCAACAGTCGTTCTGCTGAACGAAAACACAGCAGTTCAATCGCTCCACAATCTCCGTTCCTCATCTTCTGTTGTCTTTCGGAGCGACCCTGCCCCACGGTCGACGTGTAGTGATGCGACTCATGGAGCTCACTAGTTTTGCGACGGTCTTAAACACCACACCACTACGGAAGCCACCTCGTCAAACTCAAGATTAACGGGCTTTTGCGCCGAGATTTAAGCGACAAGATTCTATGAATGGATTCTTGATGATCATGCTCGCTCCTTCCCGTCTCTCGCCTTGTTTTCCGACTCCACTACTTCTAGAAGATCCCCTTTTTCGGATGAATTCCTAGACAGCCATCTCATAGCGTCTTACAGCAAATTTGTCACACACCATAGCTCTCATGCGAGAAAGATGACGACACTGGAAGAGGATGAGAGTTGGGTACGTACTTGAAGCTATCCACTGTTACTGAAGACACCTATGGCGCCCGCATGAGCGGCCAGTGGGAGGTCCGAATACGTGGTATAGTCTCAAGACAGCAGGGAAACTTACGACAGTATATAAAGTATGTGCCCGTCGTTTTCCATGTGCATTACCGGAATAACGTCGGTCGGAGGTGTGCATAATGTAGCTCGCATCGCCTGAGAGCCGCTACTAATGCGCCTGGGTACCTTCCCCAGATCCTCCAGCAGCTTAGTTATTGACCGCATCCACAACATCGTCCACCCACACATAATGGTTCACGGCTCCGTTGCGAACGCCAATGCGTAGGTCATGTATCCGTGCAGCTTGGAACAACAAGTAAGCTAATGATGCCGACCACCTCAGTGCGGAGCGCGTAGATTTCAGCTAGTGCCCCATGTTGGTTCCCCTGCACCATTAGGTAGCTATTGGGTACACGTACTTGACGATCGTCCATGGCAATGGGCGGAACATCTAGCTCGGCATGTGCTCGCGGAACCTGCTCCGCCTCGTTCGCCCGTCCCTGTCAAGGTTAGAAGCAACACCATCACACTTATGCCCAACGACCCTAACTGCACACTACGCATCAGGTGACGTACGCTGATACGGTCTACGGGTCCCTGTTTTGGTGTTTCAGCTCTACGTCAACAGGAGCTGACAATACACAGTACGATTGATTTGCATCAGATCAGATCCGGATGATCAGCACTGGAACGACGTCCGAGCTCTGCGATTGGCAGGCACGTCGTGTGCGCGCCATCAAAAAGGTTTCAGCCTACTGCTACATAAATACACTATTCACAGGACATATGCGGCATACATCGTAGTATCACACTTGATGCCCTTGGACCTACCTAGGCACGGAGCCAATGGCGTAATACCAGCTCATCCGATGAGTGACGATGGGAGCAATACCATCAGCTGCCAAGGTGATGACGTTAGCGCTAGGCGAGAAGACATTCCACCAGCAAACTACACAGTGCATGCATCAAGAAAGCGACGAGCAGACCAGCCTCTTTGCTAAATATCGGTCTCGCTGTTTATTTGTAACTCACGGGTGTGAACACGGGAACAGAAGCGCACCTGGGCTTGAGGCATTCATGCCGTCCCTTGACGGCGTTGCATGCTAACAAAGTGCTTGCTAGCCCCGGTACTTCTCTACCGTGTTCAACCCCTACCCATCTACAGAATATCGGTGCGCATTGATGCGGTCAAGCAAGGATCGGAAGCTGCAGATATATGCACACTCACGGCCAGTGCATCCAGATAAACTGTGAACTGGGCGATCGTCGGAGCCAATCGTTATGGGTGTCGCATTGAGCATAAAATGCAGGCGTTTGAATATGGCTTCTATGAGTCTTTCACAGTTTAACTTCCGTACAAATCGACATGGTCGCAGTAATAGACGCGTGCATACCCAAGATCGACGGTCGGATGCGTTTGCGCTATATAGATAGCCGACCCATGGAGCATACTCTAAAGCACCAGTTCGGTGCGTACTGGAAATAGCATCATCGTCGCGATATATTAGATTTTCCTTCCGATCGGACCAGCGAGTGAAACGGCCTAGGTCTTCAGCGCAGTAGGAAGCCGAACCACTCGGATGCTAGCCTGTCGATCTGAATCGTCGCATCGAGTGAACTCGGAGCACCCCATGGGCTGCTACTGGTATCACTTCGAACAAACGCGGACGATTTCCCGGTCGCATGCAGGGTCTACACAATACTCATGTACACATAAAACGAGCGGTAGATTGGCGAGCGCGATGCTGGGTCTAGAGCTAGGCTGAAGATTATATAAGCTGGTGAGTTATTACCCCATGCATGACGTTATTCCTGAGTAAACCCTCTCGAACGGAAGAGAAGATGGAGGGAATAGGCGGCTCGATCAGAACGGACGGTGGCCCCTACATCGCTAACCTACCTATGGTATCACGATGCCTGGGGACACTCGCGGCAACAGCGAGATCTACTGTTCCTACACTCGTGAATCAAGCCAAGAGTTTA